GGCATGTGCAGCATTAGTGATTCGGTAGGGACAGTTGGCCCTGGCAGGCTTTGGCCCTGTAACCCAACCTGCAATTCCAGAGCTGATTAAGTAGGTGGAGGGCAGGACCCTTGTGAAATTTCCATCTGGGGATTTCACTGGCATCAGCTTGCTCATGACCAAGGGACCAGGAAGAGGGGAGGGGGAGGAGAAGCAGCTGGTTGAGGCAGAGGCCCAGTTCACATAGGTGCTGGGCCCTGGGCCAGGTTGCACCTTGGCTCCCTCCCCACCTGGTTTTTGCATGTAGAGCACCCTGTTAAAGTTGGGGGCAGGACATAGAGCATTCTATGGTCCAGAGCAGCTATTATGTGGCACTAGTGCAGGCAACTAGGACGAGGGAGGTTCTAGCTATAACCTGTCCCCTGCTGTCAGAGGAAGGAGGCTGGGGACCTGATAGTCATCAGCAACATAGCTGGAGGAGTTGGCACAGGAGCTGCAGCCTGCTGCGCACCTGGCCCTTCTCAGGGAAAGCTATGAAGAAGACATCGTCATTGCCTTCAGGAAGCCTTGTAAGCTGCTGCGGTCACTCTCCCAGGCAGTAGGCACTTACACAGGGCAGTACTGAACAGAATGCTTTATGTTCTGTCACAGTCCTCTGCTCTTATCTCAGTTGAGGACACCAGGGCTGGTAGGCAGAGCTGGATTCACTTCTGGTTCTGGGACCTAGCAACCACCCTCTTCTTGGGCTCCTTGATCATCCAGCTCTTGTTGGTGCGTGCCCTTGGCTGGCTGCTCTGTCCCAGACGAGGAAGGGTGCACAGGTGGGGAAGTCCAAGCTCTGCCTCAAGCTGTTCACCATGCAAGTCTGAGCAGAGAATTTGTCTCTGAAGGAGGCCTGTTGATGGCCTGTGGTGTGAGAGGCCAGGCGGGAGGGGAGGCTGGGAGTGAGCCCGCGTGGACAGAGCAGGCTTTGTCCTCTGTGGGGCCAGGCCAGCAGGGGAGATGTGTGCCGTGCTTGCCGCAGTGTGAGGGTCCGTACCCAGTGCCGGGGCCCTGGCATCACTGCCCCCCTCTGCATCTCCATCACCACTGACTTTCAAGCCACGAGATTCTCTGAGTTTGGCAGGTGTGATTGAAGGCTGAAAGTTGTTGAGTGTCCACCATCAAGGTGATGGCTCTCGCCACTCTGACTCCCGAGCAGGGTGCACCTCCAGGTGAGCGTGTAGGCACAGGACCAGGCAGGATGGAGAGCACTAGCAGATGCCCCTGGCCGGGAAAGTTTGATTCCTGTAGGTAGGAGCAGAACCCCAGAGGGCAGTACATGTGGCCCTGAGCGAGAGCTCTTTGCGGCAGGTATCTCTCAACAGGGCTTGGTTGTCAAGAGGAGAGAACTTCTGGAATCATTAAGGCCATAGTTTACTCTTGCCCTTGTGGGCCATGAGCAAACTTTCCTCAGAATCAGTGTGAATTTGGCACTCAGCCCGACCACAAATACCTCTTGCCTTTGTCCCTGTAGAGCCTTAGAGTGTGTCCCTCCAGTGGGGGAAATGGGTGTGCTGGAGGCTGGGGGCCGGTGCAGTTCTGAGGCAGTTAGGGACCCAGTCCTGAGGCAGAGGCCCTTTTCCTCCTGCCCCTCTGTTCTGGTCCATGAGTAGATATCTTCTATCTGCAGTTTAGAGTTTGGAAAAAAGGGATGAATCTTGGCGGAAAGATCCTTTTCCCCTGCCACCCTTGGCGGCCACTGTCTGTCTTTCCCTTCCTTCTGAGGGGAAAGATCTGGCTTCAGGGTGAGCAATGTTAATACTGCTGGATAGGTGGGAAAGCCAGACATGGAAGCAAAGGTCACACAGATTCATGTGTGCTGGGTCCAAGGCTGGCATTAGTGGTCTTGCGACACATGGGTCTTTGTCCCCATTGCTAGTCTGTAAGCTCTAAGAGGTCAAGGTGCTGGTGTCTTCAGTCCCTCCCATATTCCAAAATAGCCTCGCCCTGTACTTTGTATTATGTAGGGATTTAATAAATGATTTTGTTAAATTTTAAAGTCCTGAGACTCCTGCAGTTTATAGAGGAGATGGAACTTGACCATCTCCCATGGGAGCAGCTTGGGACAGCAGGGACTAAGAACTAGGGCTCCTGATATCCTTTGGAACTTGTTACCCTGCCTCTGGGTCATTGTCCTGGAAGGTGGTAAAGATGTGTATCCTTGGGTTCTCCTCTGGGAACTTCATCTGGAGTACAGTCTGGGGGAGAGACAGCCTGAAACAGCATGTTAGTATCCTGACCTTGCTGGGCCTGTTCCCCAAGGTTCCCTCATCTTCTCTCCTCATAACTTTTTGATGTCAGGCAGCTCAGCAAGTAACTTCTGTTTTCTTTACTACAAGTGGGGATTATGTTTCTGGCCTGGTTTGTTGACTGAGGACTGGATGAGAGGAGGTCTGTCAAGGCCCAGTATATGGTGGAAGCTGGCTCTTGTCACAGTGGCCCCTCCGGCTGAGGATGCTCTGGACCCAAGCCTGGTGTGGAGTAATTGCCTTAGGAGCATTCTCCTTCCTTGTCATGGGATGGGGTGGTGACCTCAGCCTGCCCCCTTGCATCTGGTGTTACTGCCTGAGTTCTAGCGGTGCTCGGGAAAGACTTCTCTGTATGTGCGGTCTTCCTGTGAGGGTTATCTACTGCTGTGAGGTGTGCAGGGCAGGCTTTGCTGCCCTATGGTACTGAGGACAAGAGGCTAGAGGGGACAGTGTTGGGGTTGGGTTTGAGCTGCCTGTTACATAAGCAGGAGGTCATGAGCGAGCGGCTTGGCCTTTCATGGGCACATTGTATAATCACCTCTGTGAAACCAAATGGTAATCTCAGGGCCCTGTGTGGTGTTTGCTTAAACCCCAAGAAGGGTGGGTCTGAACAGATCCGCTTAGCAGGGGAGGCAGGGCTTGTAGTGGTAATGAACTCTGTGGGAGGAGCTCCCCCAGGGGAACAAAGGGGGCCTGAAGCAGCTTAATATTTTCCTTCTGTTCCAGACCTTGGAACACTCTGTCCTGCCTCAGCTGGGACCAAGCCCAGGATGCACCTGGGTTGGGTTTAATCCTCAAATTGGCCTCTACAAAAGAAAAGGGCAAAAAACAGGGGCCTGTTTTGGGGGGGAGGTGGTGGTGTCAGGAGAACCTCCTTGTCCCAGGCCCTGTGCAGAGCTCAAAGACAGATCAAGTGGCTGCACCTCTAAAGTTTCATGCAGGCCCGTAATGCTATCCAGCTGCTTCTTCCCTACCCCTCTGGCCACAGTCTCAAAGGTGGGAGGGTCCCTGGCTCCCTTTCCCCACCACCTCTACTCCCTTCCCTGAAGGCTAGTGGAAAGGAAGAGATAGGTAAGAGGAGCCCAGCCAGGAGCCGCTGCGCAGAGATGGGTAGCCTCAGACCCCAAGCTGTCAGTTAGGGACTCTCACTGTGCCACCGCCTGGTTCCCAGGCTAGTGCCGCTGAGCCCCAGCCCTGGGAGCCACAGGGAGCATTAATGAGCACAGGCTCCGAATGGGTGGATGGAGGGGTGCGTGATCATTAGGTGTGACAAGATACACATACTGCCTGGCACACATGACAGCTACTGTTGCAGCTATACAGAAAGGGAAACTTAGGAGAGGGGAGGGGAGGTGGCTTGCACTGTGACAGATGTTTGTGGGAAAAGCCCCTTCTGGAGGCTGCCTCTCCACCGGCTCACTTCCAGGCCTCTTGGAGGCAGCACATTTAAATAGAGGAATGGAAATTGGATAGCCCTGCGTTCTAATCCTGCCCTGCCTTGTACTGGTGTGGGGTCCTCTCTGCGTTTCTGTTCTGCATCTCCTTAACGGGGGAATGAGCCCACCTGCCTGCCCCAGGTTAGTGCAAGGATCACAGAGCTGTGAGAATTCTGTCAACTAGGGGCAGCACAATGAGACAGGGGCTCAGGGTGGCTGCCCCCCAGGCCCAACTGGGAATCTAGACACAGGGTCTCCAGCTGGAAGGAAGGCCCTGCCTCAGGAAGACTGAGCGCAGGGCTGAGGTGACTCAGTGGGGCTCATTGCAGGGGGAGCAGCAGCACCTTGTTCTCGGGAGTGGGAGTGGGACTCAGCCACTACATGGGCCCGAGCTTCCTGTGTGTGTGCCCCGTCAAGTGCCATAGCACTTAGCTGAGAGGCCGTGGGTATGTTTGTAAAGTCTCAAAGGCTCTGCTGTTTCCTCTTGGTGAAATGGAGATTTAATTTCTGCCCTGAAGGGTGGTTGTGGAGGTCAGTGAGACAGTGCCAGGAGGCAGCTGGCCCAGTACCCACTGTGTAGCGTATGCCCAGCCGAGGTGACTGGAGTACCCTAAGCCTAGCTCTATGCTGGGACCCCTTCCTTGGCAGGGACGAGGTCCACACCAGCCCACAGTCCCTAAGCCATCTGAGCTGGAGATGCAGCTTCTAGCTGCCCAGAGCCCCAGGGCACAGGCACGAAAGGCTTCAGAAAAGAGCCAGCCAGCGCAGGCCCTCTTGCATCTGCTGCTCTTATTTATTTATTTATTTATATGTTGTTTATTTATTTGGTACAGGGTCTCGCTGTGTGGCTCAGACTCACAGTGATTCACCTGTCTCAGCCTCTCCAGTGCTGGGATTACATGTGTGTGGCACCATGCCTGGTTTTGGTGGCCAGCATAGTATGCCTGGGGTTCTGAGGCCAGCATAGCATGTGGTACCAGGGATCAAACCCTGGTCTTTGCGCTTGCTAGGCAGGTGCTTAGACCACCAAGCCATCTCCCCAGGCCACATCTGCTGCTCTTGCTTATGATCATAAGTAGCTACTGTTTCTGGTTGAAAAGCCACCAACCTGCCATACCTTTTTCCATACTGGTAGGGAAGCAGGCCAGAGAGGAACACAGAGTAGGGATCCTAGAGTACTTCAGAACAGTATTCTGGGGTGGGTGCTGCGTCCAGCCCTGCTCCTGCCGTGCGGGGTGGGGTAGCAGCTTTCTGGGGTGTCCACCCTCACCTGTATGTGTGGCTCTCTCTCCAGTCCCCACCATGCTGTGGACCCTGCTGCTGCCCCCGCTGTTCCTGCTGGCTGTGAGTGGAGTGCAGACCACCCAGCCGTGCTTCCCTGGTTGCCAGTGCGAGGTGGAGACCTTCGGCCTCTTCGACAGCTTCAGCCTGACCCGTGTGGACTGCAGTGGCCTGGGCCCTCACATCGTGCCTGTGCCCATCCCTCTGGACACAGCCCATCTTGATTTGTCCTCCAACCGCCTGGAGACAGTGAACGAGTCAGTGTTGGCAGGGCCTGGCTACACTACTTTGGCTGGCCTAGATCTCAGCCATAACCTACTCTCTAGCATCTCGCCCACGGCCTTCTCTCGACTTCGCTACCTGGAGTCTCTGGACCTAAGTCACAATGGCCTGACAGCACTGCCAGCTAAGAGCTTCACCAGCTCCCCCCTGAGTGATGTGAACCTCAGCCACAACCAGCTCCAAGAGGTCTCTGTGTCTGCCTTTGCGACCCACAGCCAGGCCCGGGCACTGCACGTGGACCTCTCCCACAACCTCATTCACCACCTGGTCCCACAACCTGTGGGCTCTGGCTTGCCCATGCCCACCATTCAGAGTCTGAACCTGGCCTGGAACCGGCTGCGTGCTGTGCCCAATCTGTGGGACCTGCCCCTGCGCTATCTGAGCCTGGATGGGAACCCTCTGGTGGCCATTGGCCCAGGGGCCTTCACAGGGCTGGCAGGCCTTACTCATCTGTCTCTGGCCAGCCTGCAGGGTCTCCCCCAACTGGCATCCCATGGCTTTGGTGAACTGCCCAGCCTGCAGGTCCTGGACCTGTCAGGCAACCCCAAGCTCAAGTGGGTAGGAACTGAGGTGTTCTCGGGCCTGGGATCATTGCAGGAGCTGGACCTGTCGGGCACGGGACTGGTGCCCCTGCCTGAGGCCCTGTTGCATCACCTCCCAGCATTGCAGAGTGTCAGTGTGGGCCAGGGCACTCGGTGCTGGCGCCTGGTACGGGAAGGTGCCTACCCTCGGCAGCCTGGTTCCAGCCCCAAGGTGGCCCTGCACTGTGGAGACACCCAGGAATCTGTTGCCAGGCGCCCAGACATTTTGTGACGAATGATATAGCCTAGGGCCACATGACAGACTGCTGCCCTGGGCTTGCTCGGGTCCCATATAACTTATATTTTAATGTGCCAATGCCAGCAAGAGTCTGTGGGCCTAGTGGTGGCACCACCATGGAGCCACAGGCCTACCAACAGCTTTGTGTCTGGGCCAGCACCCAAGAACAAAGCCATTCCTTTGTCCCTGTTGCCCCTGCAGACCACAAGCAGAGGGGGATCGGTACCACGCCAGACTCTGGTCCCTATCTGCTCCCCTTCCTTACTTGTCCCACAAGTGCCTTGCCTCTTTGGGCTGAGCAGACCCACAGCAGGAAGAGGGTAGGTGGGAGCCACCACTGCAGGGCAGACTCAGGTCCACTGGATTGAGTGTCCCCTTGGCTCATAGCCCTGGCTCTTAGGGACAGGAGTCCCTTTTACAACTTATTCCTTCTTTGCTTTGGAACCCTAGGTAGAACTTTACTTACTGAAGGGATTAAAGAGAAAATTGAGTCCACCCTACTTATGGAACAGCTGGGAAAAACGAGGCCTAGAGAAGGAATGTAATCAGAGGTCCCCCTGGGTGGAAGTGTGACCAGTACCCGGCTTCCTACCTCCTGCCCAGGCCCTCTGTACTTCCTGTCTTCTTTAAACCATCCCTTTCCTGGGCTTCCCCGTGCTGTTTCTGCAGCAGGAGCAAAATGGATAAGGGGAGCATGGGTGCACTACCAGCTGTGTGGCACGCACAAGCAGGTCATTTCACCTTCCGGAGCCTCTGAGAGCTTAGGGCATGCCAGTCCTGGGTCTGCCACCTCCTCCTGTGGGGCAAGGTCTCCAAGAATCAAGACTGAAAAGATGCCTGTTTCCTTGGAGATGTGCAGGGATGCTGTGCTAGAGCCCCTGCAGTCCTCGCCTCCAGCGGCCCACCCTGACTTGGTCCCCACAGGCTGAGCTCACAGAGTCCTCGAGTTCCCTTCACCCTCACATAGGTAGGGTCTGCCTCACCACTTATACTCCATCCCGGGGTGACATCTCAGTTTCCCAACCCTGGGCTCTTTCCTTTGCCTTCATTTTATAAGAATTGTTGCCTTTTAAATGAATTGTCGCTTTCAACCCCCATCCCCCCTACCTCTGCTGGCAGGGGATGGAAACATGTCATTTATAAAACAGGAAGAGTTGCATTTGTTCACTTTTATGATACTGTGTTCTGGGCATGTGTTGGTCTTGGGTGGGAGCCAGCCCTCAGGGGCTCTGTGGGCATCCGGCTGTCCCACAGGCAGCCCCAGGCAGTGGGAGCTCTTTCTCCACCAGCCCAACCCAGCACCTGGTCCCACTTTGGTTTAATAAATGCTCTAAAGACCTCTTTCCATCATTCAAGCGACATTTGCCGACAGTGCCTAGACTGGGCTCTGGGCCCACAAGGAGGGATTAGGTCAGGACCTGGGGATATTGTTTGGCCTGAAAAGCCCTGCAGTCTGCCAGGATACGAGGGGAAGGTGATGCGAAGGAGGAGTTCCTCAGGGGCGCTGGGTTTTTGCTGCAGCCAGCACAGTGTACCTTCCTCACTCCTGGTCACCACAGCTCCACCAGCTGGGTGTTTGGCCATAACCTTGGGCACATGGCTGCCTTTGCCTGGCCGTTACTGTGGGACCCTGGCCTCTCCCCCATCTGTGCCCCCTCAACTTCCTGCTTACCAGGAGACCCCATTCCTGTCCTGCTTTAGGAGCTTTCCCTGAAGGACCCTCTCACCTCCTTCCTGTCAAATGACACAGTGTGGTACGTTGTTCATCTTCAGTGTTTCAGCCGTTTTGGCTCCGTAACTCCTGGCTGCACATTCAGTGAAAGAGCTTTCCTCTTGTTGATGCTGTCCACAGGAGTCTCAGGAACATCCGCAGCATCAAGCTGTTGCCGATCCCAGTGAGATGTGGTTAAAATGTACAGTTCATGTTTAACTTTTAAAAACTGATTACAGTAAAGGACACATTACCATTAATCACCCTCAAAGTCTCACTTTGACTACACTAGTCCCAGCATTCTTGCCACTTTCTATTTTTTGGTGGTACCAGGGATCGAACTCAGGACCTTGCACTTGCTGGGCAAGCACTTATTCCACTGAACTATCTCATTGGTCCTTCTTGCCACTTTCTGAAACAGTTTTGGACGTCCTATTTCCTGTGCTTCTGGGGTGGGGGAAAAATACGGTGAATGCTGCCGCACAGTGTCATCCGGCAGAAAGGTGGGTTTGTAAAAATGTGGGGTGTCCTCACCCCCTTTCACCTGAGCTGGCACATGTGACTTCTGGTTCTTCTGCAAAGTGAGAGCGGCTATGACAAAAGGTAAATGTTTTGAGTTGATTCAGGGCACTGAGACAGGCATGACAGCATGATTAAAAACATAGAGGCCTTCTAGAACTGCTTCAGGAAGTGGTAAGAAAGATGGATAAGGCTCTCGAAGCAAGGGGAGTGTTTTGAGAGGGATTCGCCAGTCTCTTGTGCTGTAAGAATTAAAAACATTTAAACGTTCACTGTTTTTAGGTCACACCTAGTACTTTGCTAGACCCTGGATGGGATGGCAAGATAAATGTTTGTCCTGTGTTTGTTCTGGGAGCTCATTCCTGGTTTGAGGGGTAGAGAGACACGGAGTCTTTGGCCCAGAGTGTCCAGGGCAGCCCTGTGTGGAGCCAGGACTGGGAGGAGCAGACCAGGCTGGATGAGGCTGGCCCTTGGGAGGTGTCTTGTCTGGTCTCTGTACCAACCGGAGTGCCGGACCCAGGGGGCAGCCATCTGCCAGTGCAAGAAAGAGCTGAGGGATTGCCTGGGGTGCGGGGGTCTCACAGCTCACAGTCCCTAGGATGGGTAAGGGGGCGTGGCCACTGGCTGCTATCCTGCCTGGGCCTCCCACATTCCAGGGACAAGAGAGGATTCAGAGGCAGGGGTGCGGGATGGTCGGGGTACTTCCACCCAAAGTACCCGGATCTTCCAAGGCTACTCTTGGGCAGGAGAAATCCTCGGAGGGCCTGGGTACCACAAGTATAAGACAAGAAAGTGAACTGAAGGGTAGGGAGGGACTTGTGCAACTTCTGTCTGCAAATGGGGCCGTGGTGAGGCTCTCGGATGCCTCTTCACCGCGGATTCATGCTGACGGGCAACACAGCCTCGCTGCCCCACAGCTCTGGCCTCCTGCCCGGGGCGCCCAGCTTCACACAAGCAGGCCTCAGTCCGGAGGTTCTGCCCAGCACTAGGGCGGAGGTTCCTGGCCTGCAGCGCCACCTCGTGGTCACACAGAGTTAGACAGTGCCGGATAAGGCGGCTAGAGGCAGAGCGCCTCTGTGGGCTGCCAGTCTGTCCACCCTTGCAGCTAGACCCCGCCCCTCTGGCCTCGCCCCTGCAGGGATCCAGACACCTGGCCTGGGGCCTTAGGATCTGAAGGACTGGCTCAAGGTGGTTTAGGCAAAGGTTTGTTTTGAAGTCAGGAGGATTAAACTCTTGGGTCCATACCAAAGGCAGTAGGGTCAGTTTGCCCCTCTTTCAACAGCGGGTGTGTGTGTGTTGGGGAGGGGGGAAGAAGCAGCTCTGGGCATCATGGTGGTTGGCTCAGAACTGGCTATGAAATTTGTGGGGTCCCATGAAAATGAACATGTGGAACCCCCTCTCCAAAGATTTCTAAAAACTTCAAGTTGAAAACAGAGTATGAAACTAGTATGGGGTCCTTCGGAGGCCCCACTGTCTCTGAAGGCAGCCCGCTGGGCTCCGATCATGTCCAGAGCAGGAAGAGGCAAGTACAAGGACAGTACTACTTAGGATGGCAGAAAGTCTGCGTGTAAACCAGTCCTGCTAGAGTTGAAGGGCAGATTAGTCTTCCAAGTGCAATGTTCTCCCCATCCCCAAGTTGCCTTGGCGGAGGTCATCACAGGCTCACGTAGCCTTACATCGTGCTCCGCATTCCTTGTGACTAATGTTCACTGTGGGGCAAATTCCTTGGAGGTCTCATGTTTATTCTGTCAGTGACAGCATCCACCAGTGGTCAGGGAGTGCTTGGCGGCGACGTTGGCCACTGGAGCACATTGCTCAGTGTCCTAGGTAGTGAACTGCCAATGAAGTTGCTCTGTGCTTCGGTATAGTGTCAAGAGTGCAACTTGGCTTCCAGTGACAGCACGTATTGACACACTTAGGTCACATTCCTGCGCTTATGTTTCTCTTTGTTTGCTATATTTTGTTTATTTGAGCACCAGTGTTTGTAGTTATGGAGATCATTGTGTTTGTTTAACTTGGAGAGAAAGTCTTCCTGTGTTTATTCTTTAATTCCCAAAGCTATTTGTCATTTTTGTCCCATACTCATTAGTCAGAATGTTTTGCATTAGGAATACAGGAATGTGATTATTTTGGAGACAACGTCTTACTCTGTTGGCCAGGCTGGCCTTCAATTTGTACCTTAGCTTGTGATATATGTAGGATTAAACTCAGAGGTATTTTATCACTGAGTTACAGCCTCAGTGTTGTAGTTTGGGGTTTTTCAAGGGAAACAATACCATATAGGACATATATTTTATAAAATTATAGAATCATATACAAAGAGTGCAGGAAATCTGTCCATACACTAAGACCAAAGAATCCAGCTAAGGGCCTAGATCCTATGGTCATGTCCTGCATGAGCCCAGCTAAAGACCTAGAGCCCCAAACAATACCTCCTATGAGTCCAACTGAAAGCCTAGAGCCCAAGACAATGTCTCATGCAAGCACATTTCATGGATCTGTGCTGGGAAGGCCCATAGGTTAATGGTGGAAGCTAGAAAGTCTGTGCCAGTGGGATGAAGGACCTGTGCTAGCAGGCTGAGGGGTCTGCCCTGGAGCTAGGAAGCAACGCTCAAGGTAAGCACCAGAGCACTTTTGATGGTAACAGTCAAGCTCATCAGAAAAGCCAGCATGATGAACTCCTCTAAGAGAACCAGCTGCTCCCAAGGCCCTTCCAGCAGCTTGCAGCGGCTTCTCTTCAATTCTGCCTCTTATGCTTTGGGCAACAATTCTTAGGTGGGCCTCCCACAGCCAGCATCACACTAGTTCAGTTCACTTGGGTGTTACAAGTTGACCACCAGTTGTCAATCCACCACACTCAGACATTTTAATTTTTTAATTTTGAGGCAGGGTTTAAGTTTCCCAGTGTGGCCTCAAACTTACGATCCTCCTGCCTCTGCCTCCTAAGTAGCTGGGTTTCCAAGTGTCAGTGAGGACACCCCGTCATTTGTGTTTCTTGATGTAAACATAGCTTGCATGTAGTATGTGCATAAAACATTCATGTTGTCTTCCTGACACAGAAAGACACAGAGGAAGAGAAACTGGTTAGAAGACAGAAGTCTTAACCTAGGAACAGTTTTCTAATTAGTTGCTTCCTAGAAGGAGCAACTTGTCCAAAGGCAAATAATAAATTTTGGTGTCATCCTCCTGCTGAGGTGCAGAAGGACAAATAACTCTCCTTTGGGCTGAAAATGGGGAAGGTGCTGATTCAGGGAACTTGGGCTAGGCCCCACCCTGCAGGAGCTTTCCCCCTCAGAGCCTGTCTCTGCCACTCCAAGCCGACTCCCAGAGACGCCACCAAGCCACCTCCGAGCCTGTCTCTGGGTGTGCGGTGGCCCCATGGTGCCGCCCTCCCTGCTTCCCTGGGGATGAGCCAGTGGACACACAGCCCTTCAGAAGACACTTAGAGTTTGACATATCATTTATCTTAAGTTTGAAATTTTGGGGGTCAATTTATAAGCCTGCTGTGGTGCCAAATAGTTTTCAGCAGAGTTGCTTCAGGACCCATCAGTTCCCAGCGGAGATACTGTGGAAGCTGCAATACTCAGGAATTAGCTGGAAAAAATGTTCTGCCCTCTGCCCCAGTGCATTTCCAAACCAGGCCAGAGGCTTTTACAGACACAGCACATGGAGAAAAAGCCTTCAGATGTCCTTCCTGAGGTGTGAGCCACTGCCTTCCCCTAGCCTAGGGCAGATCCCAGGCAGAAGGACCGAGTGGCTGGGTTTTGAGGGATGTTCCCTTCTATCCTTGCTCTTGGCTGTGGCTGTCTGATGTCGCTCCTAGATGGGGCAAGAGTGATGCTGAAGGAAGGATTAGGGCCAGGTGCCTGGCTTCCGTTTCCAGTGGGGCATTTGCTAAGTCATGGGGAATAAGGGTCTCTGAGCATGCATAATTCTCCAAGTGCATAATACTCCTAGGAATGTTTCTAAGGAATATGAAGGAGTGACATGTGAGAACCTTGGGGCTGGAGATGAGACTCAGAGTCCTGAGCCAACCCGATGGCTGTTGTTCCTAGGCATCGAGCTCTCCAGGGTTGCCTGTACACTGACAGCAACAGCTGATGGCACAGCCCCCGACCCAGCCCTGCTGTCCCACTCTTCCCTATTGCTAACTTACTTATGCCATGCTGGCAGCAAAAGATCAGGGAACATTTCAAATGAGAGCCCTGTCTCCTTGGAGGGTAGCTTGTCTGAAGGGAGCAGGCAGAAGAACTGTTGAAAAGGACATAGACTGGCTGTTTTGCAGTTACCTCACCCTGTGTGGAAGGGCCGCTCATGTTTGTTCACAACCACCTGGGTAGACTTGGCATCATCCCACAGCCAGCGCCTACTCCCAGCCAAAGGTCTGGACAGACCCCTGTACCCTGGGGCTCCACTGCCCACTCTGGACAGGAGCTGGGAGAATAGACGTGGGTGCACTACCCTGATAAGGGGCTTTCCCTTCTTCTCCTCAGGCTGGGGACCTAGGTGAGGGGAGCCCAGGCTGCAGTGAGGCCAGAGAAGGACAGGGGAGGAGGAGAGGAGTGGAAGCCCCTGGGAAGGCAGAGCTGACCTTCAAAGGTAGAGCTTCTGGAACACTCGCCCCACACTTGGGCAGGGCCTCCACCACACGGGCAGAGGGAGGGGCGGCGGCGGGGGGGGGGTGTTTCACAGCCTTTGCTTTGCTAGCCTGTTCCGAAGGAAGCCGCCCAAATGTGGAG